TGGCCCCGGCCCCGGCCCTGGCCCTGCCCACGGAGCCGGCCGGTCCGGTGGAGCAGGGCAGTCAGATGCGACCAAGTGTAGCTCTGGCGCGAGCGCGCTCAGCCAACTCGGGGCTCCAGGGTCTCCAAGTTCACGTACTGGACTCCGGAGTTTATATGCATTTCAAAGGTGCTGGAAGCTAGCCAGGGCTGTTGCCTTGCCCTGACATTGGCTTAAACATCACTCCAGGCACAACTCGTTTTGGAGTGATCCCAAAGAGCAGCTTCCCTGAACTTTACTTGTAGTCCCTGCTGGACAAGGCTGAATTTCACTGCGGGGGGCGGGGGCACAGAGGGATCTCCTAAAGGTGGCTCAGGGAAGATGGGATTTAAAACAAACACGGAAGACTAATCCACGGGTCGACTTTCTCTATGAGCTGCCTTATGTGCCCAGTGCCAGACTCCAGTCTATCTCTGTTTGTCTCTTTCTGTTTGATTCGCTCTCCTTGTTGGTTAGAAATATGTAGTGTGTACATAGAACGACCCTGGGGAGGACTACTCTGTAACAGAGATACGGCAGATAGAACGGGGTTTGCGGTTGCGTGCGCAGCCAGCCACAGACAGCTATATTTAGCAGCTACAGGAACTGATAGGAGGCATCTGGGGGAAAGGGGTGGAGATTCAAGGTGTATATATAGGAAGAGCCACATTTTACAGTCAGGAGAATGCTGCTGGACCTCAGTTTCCTCATCTGCAAAATGCGCCCCAAGTGGTCCTTTCTAGCCACAGCCTTAGGAGATGATCCCAGCCTGGCTTGTATGTTTACATTGGACCACAGAACTGGACTTCTCCCTTTAGGAATCCTCATGTGAACGATGATTCAGAAAAACCTTTGGTTAGGCGTACATGGGTGTTCATGCCATCCACAGGTTATGCAACCACAACTTCAGAATATGAAATGTGGCCTTGCCTGCAAACATAACCTCAGGTCATTAACCAACCTTCTCGGTCTAGCTAACATATCTTAAAATGTATTTCTACCTTGCTGTTTCTTAGTCCTAACAACTAGCCCTCCTCTCTTCCTAGAATATGCAGAAGCAAATGTTCGGAGGAAAAGGAAGTAGAAAAAAGTTTTGAACTGAATTAACCAAATTAAATGCTAAGCACATGTACACACGCATGCACGCTCACACATGCACCTACTCAAAAGATACAGTAAGTGTATCATGTGTCCATGATTTGGGATAATTTATACTTTTTAATAAACTCCCTTTGCCCCAGTCAGCCTAAGAAACTCTGATATGACCATTAATACTTCATTCTAATTGCTATCCCAAACACCCAATAAAGTACCTGACCAAACATTTGTGGCATATACACAGGAAATGCCAAGTTGCTGTTACTAATACTAACATTTTTAAATATTTAGTGTCATTAATACACATTTCATCTAATCCTTACAAAACCAGACCATGTGGGGACAACATACAGACGTAACTGATCTGAGATGAAGCTATAATTGAGCTCGCTCGCCATCAGTAACTACAGATTGTAAACAAAGAAAGGGTTAAAAACCACATTGGGTGCATTGTGTATATTTCTCTTTATGGCCAGCAACCATTACTTTCCAAAGCAATTTCTTGACAAATGATTTAGTTTCTGTAAATCACACTTTCCATTTTCAAATGCCTTTTTAAAGCACATGCAAAAGCACTTCATAGGGCTCTTAAAAAATCTGAGCCTGCCAAATGCCGTATAAATGGCACGAAGAACCCTACAAGTCCTGAAGGAAAAGGGAGACACACAGATACCCCCAGGGAAAACAGCAAATCCTCCTCTCCCTGCTAGGAGACAGACACTGGCCAGTAAGGTAAGTTGCTTTCTCAAAATGCTAAAGCTACAGAGGGAAAAAAATCAAAACAATCCTACCCTGCTGGATCAAGATCGTCTTTCCAGAAATGTTCCATGGGCTTGTAGAAGTCAAGGGCCAAGGCAGGGAGAAGAAAGAAGAATGTGCTCGTACGTGCAAGTGGCTCAGTGTGTGAGCAAGGCAGAGCTTGCGTGGATGTGTTTGTGTGTGGAATGGCAGGGATTCGGGAAGCAGCCAGTAGGCAGGGCACTTGGGAGCCCCTCCCGGCAGACTCGGCAGCTGGGCTGCTGCTCAGAGCTGGGTGAATGGCAGTGGAGAGTGAGGAGAGACTTGCTGTCTGTGCGTGGAGAGCAGCGTGACACAGGGGGAGCAAGTGTGACTGGGGACACGCCAGCTCCAGCCTCCTCTGCTCCTCACCCTAGGAGCTTACAGAGTGCCCTAGGCTTGCTACTGCCACCCTAAGCAAGAGGAAAAACAGGCTTGCTGTAAATCATAGGCTTACAGCTAAAATAGAATGCCCGTCAAAAGTGTATGGATATCGAGTGAGCAAAATGTGGCCCTGGTGGTTTTTCCTAAAGAATATAATTTAACAATAAAAGCCTCCGGGATACACTTGGCTCCCACGCCTTGCTGGCCCTAGCCCCGGGTCTCAGAGCAGCCACATTATTGCCATGCGTCAAATTGCACCAAGAAACCAGGCCTTGGAATAAATGTTTTGGCATTAATATTTATATGTTAGGGATGTGTTTCCAGCTGAAAGGTAATACCCCTCCACCTCATTAACCAAATCCACAAACCTTTCCATGAATAGCTTACTTGACTGCCCTCTGTAAACATGTAAAATATATATATTATTAAAAGCCTAGGGCATAAAGATAGGACACAGGTGGGTACCTTTGCTTTAAACTGGTTTCAGGCTTTTGGGTTGTCCTGGCACTGATCACGTGGAGAAATCCTTCACCCCCCGAGAGCGCCCACATGGATCAGCCTGGCCCTCAGCTTTTCTCTTGACCATGGTACTTACGGACAGTAATAAGGTGCTCCCGGCATGCCCATGCCCAGGACCCCAGGACACATGACACCTACTGGAGCCTTTGTTGCCAGACATTAGTCATCACCTTGGGTATTAAATGACTCTGATCACAATGCCAGGAGTGGCCCTCTCTGGCCCTGGGGCCCTGTGAAGTTACCAAGAGATTTATGAGTGACTTTTGAGATCAGTACAAAGAAACAGAAAGTTTTGAAAAAAATTTAATGATACCAGAATGCAAATATATGTCGTTGTGCTTTGAAAAACCCAAACTATGGCCATATTAGAGCCCAGAAGAGATCCCGCCACAGCCAGTAATGATAGGAAATACTACTTTTAAATAAATATTTAAAAGAGGCTGATAACGCTGTGTTGGTGACAGCAATGAATCCTGGTGACAGTGGCTCCTCCTGTAGGTTCACGGTGGCCACCCATGTAGCAGTTCAGTCCAAAATGAAAGCATGCCAGAAGAGAGGAGAGGAGGGGAGGAGAGCAAAGGGAAGGAGAGCAAAAGAGAAAAGAGGAGATTAAGGGGAGGGGAGGGGAGGGGGGAAAAGAAAACCAAAGAAAGGAAAAGGAATCTGCAAATACTCTTTTTTAACCTAGGAAAGATGAGAACCCTAGCTGTCTCTTCATAGACTTTGCTTATTCAGAGACTTAAAATCAAAGCTGTAAGTTGTTGACTTATAATCCAGATATCCAATAAAGGCCGTGTTCTTGACTGTCTCTTTCCATGTCCTCTTGCAAACTCTCCTTGGTAAGGTTTGTGCCCAAGGCTTAGTGACAGTGGGTGGGAACGCATCATGCACTCGCAGATTTTCCTTGGTGCCTTGGCAACAACTCAACACTTGGGCTTCTCCCCTTTCTACACACTCCTGCTGGCCAGGCAAACCCAGTGGGGACTATCGGACATTCCTGGGTAAAGAAAGGTGAAGTCTGTTCCTCCAGCTCTACTGTGAGATGTCCGTCCAGACCCACTCTCCAGCAGTCTGGGTATTGCTGGCTCATTCAAATACGAGTCATCGTTCTCTCTCCCCCAAACACGGTGTTCCTCTCAACTTCCCTCTGTCTGAGTGCAACATCACAGTCCCTCTGGTCACCCAGCTGCAAATCTCACCATCTCCTCTGAGGGCCGACTTTTCCTTGTCATCCACAACTGATCAAGATGAAAATCCTGGGACCAGTAGTTAGCGTAATAGCTATGTCTCTGGACTCCCATGTAGTCGACTGCAGTTCAAGTCCTGGATCCAGTGGCTTAAACTCACGCCAGGCACATGTGCTTGCATGCCCGAGATCCCAAGAGGAGAATGGAAGAGAAGAGATTGCGGCGTGGCCATCCCCCTGGGGTGGGGGGTGATTTCTCACTTTCTGTCTCTCTGTCTTTGTGGCGAGCACATGCGCCCTATAGCAAAACCTCTCCTAAAAAAGAAAAAAAAAAAGGGACCAGCAGTTAGTGTAATGGCTATGTTGCTGGACTCCCACATAGTCGACCACGGTTCGTGTCTTGGACCCGGTGGCTTAAAACTCATGCCGGGCTCATGTGTGTGTGTGCCCAAGATCCCGAGAGGAGAACGGAGGAGAAGGGATTGGGCGTGGCCATCCCCCTTGGGGGGTGATTTCTCGCTTTCTGTCTCTCTGTCTCTCTCTGTCTGTCTGGCAAGTGCACCTCTCAAAAAAAAAAAAAAAAAAAGAAAAAACCCTGGACACTGGGGCTGGCGCCCCCCCGTAATGGTTACATTGCTGGACTCCCATGTAGTTGACCACGGTTCAAGTCCTGGATGCAGCAGCTTAAACCTCACACCAGGCGCATGTGTGTGCATGCCCAGGATCTCGCTTTCTGTCTCTCTGTCTCTCTCTGTCTGTCTGGCGAGCGCATGCACCCTATAGCAAAAACCTCTCAAAAAAAAAAAAAAAAAAGATGAAAATCCTGAGCATGCTGGCTGTGCAGCATCCCCCTTTGCATTGCCTTTCTGTTACCCTCTGGCAGTCTGCATTACCCTACCAGTTCTAAGAGCCTCTAAGGACCTCTCTGTCTTTCTCTCCCTCACCTCTTCCTAGATCCTGGTCCTATTTATTTTCTTGGCTTTTCACTGCCTTAGGATCCACTTTGCTGTGACTTAGCTCCACCTTCAAACCAGACCATAGCAGCCCCAGGAGTACAGGCCTTCCCCTCTGCTCAGAACCATCCTTTTGAGGACGTCTCCTCCGACGTGTAGCCTATGTCTCAGCCAAACAAAGCTTGATTCTCCAAGAACCCAAAGCTTTTCTGATGACTTAAAGCTTTTCGATTTTTTCTGCCTAGAAGCTCCCATTCCCTGGCTCTTAAAGGACAGCCCAAATGCCACCATATTATAATGCCTTCTTTTATTGCTGATTTAAAAAGTATTTCTGACCTGGGAACCAGCAGTTAGCATAATGGCTAAGTCGCTGGACTCCCACGTAGTCGACCGCGGTTTGCGTCCTGGACTCGGTGGCTAAAACTCACGCCGGGCGCATGTGCGTGCGTGCCTAAGATCCCGAGAGGAGAATGGAGGAGAAGGGATTGCAGCGTGGCCATCCCCCACTGGGGGGTGATTTCTCGCTTTCTGTCTCTCTGTCTCTCTCTGTCTGTCTGGCAAGCGCACGCACCCTATAGCGAAAACCTCTCCAAAAAAAGTAAAAAAAAAAAAAAAGTATTTCTGACCCAGTGAACTCCAGTGTAGTTCTCATGCATTTGTTACAGCCTTCTTTGAATAGAGTTCCTTGTATGTTTTTGTCCCCTCATCTTGTTCAGAGGCTCCTTGAAGACAAGGTCTAGCTGAGTGCCCAGCACTCTGCCTTGTCATGTTAGGTCATCAAAGATCAGCTCATTTATTCATCTAGATATGGAAAGGGACAAAATGATATCACATCTGTCTCTAAACATCTCTAGAAGCTAACTTTCCATGTGTCATTCTCCTATTTTTAAAACTGTTTTTGCTAAAAGATTATCTTTGTATTTTCTTACCGACGGATGCCATAAAGTCAAAATTCAAATTTGTTCAATCTCGAGGCTTAAGCCTGCGATTCTTGCCAGCATGATTCACACGAGAGCTCTGAATTTTTAGTTTGTAACCAGAAAATAGAGGAGAATGGAGAAGGGATTGCGGCGTGGCCATCCCCCCTGGGGGGTGATTTCTCGCTTTCTGTCTCTATGTTTCTCTCTGTCTGGCAAGTGCATGTGCCCTATAGCGAAAACCTCTCCAAAAAAAGTAAAAAAAAAAAAAAAGTATTTCTGACCCAGTGAACTCCAGTGTAGTTCTCATGCATTTGTTACAGCCTTCTTTGAATAGAGTTCCTTGTATGTTTTTGTCCCCTCATCTTGTTCAGAGGCTCCTTGAAGACAAGGTCTAGCTGAGTGCCCAGCACTCTGCCTTGTCATGTTAGGTCATCAAAGATCAGCTCATTTATTCATCTAGATATGGAAAGGGACAAAATGATATCACATCTGTCTCTAAACATCTCTAGAAGCTAACTTTCCATGTGTCATTCTCCTATTTTTAAAACTGTTTTTGCTAAAAGATTATCTTTGTATTTTCTTACCGACGGATGCCATAAAGTCAAAATTCAAATTTGTTCAATCTCGAGGCTTAAGCCTGCGATTCTTGCCAGCATGATTCACACGAGAGCTCTGAATTTTTAGTTTGTAACCAGAAAATACTATGACCAAACATAGCTTCTTCTCCAGCTCCATTAAAAGCTTTTTACATTTGCAAAAACATTATTTCTCCAACAGAAACATGAAAGAAAATAAATGTGGAACTGTCTTCATAATAGCTTATACTACTAGAAATGGCTCCTTCACTCTGAGACATGAAGATTTAACTATGTTCAAACTGATCATTATACTGCCTATAAATGCTATTTGGGAGCTTATTTTTGAACATTTATTTTATATCATCCATTTTCCTGTATAGTGGAAGAATAGTGAAGAATTTCCTTTTAAGTATCTGCTCATTTTAAAGATGCCTTGGTCATTTGTTTTAAGAGTTTTTGATTAGTCTTGGATTTTTTTTGTTTTTTGGAGACAAAACTTGTGGACAGTGAAATGCACCCATCTTCAGTGTATGCTTTGATGGGTTTGAATACACGGCTATGCCCAGATAACAGTCATCCCAACGAAAGTGTAGAGCCTCTTCTTCATCCCAATAGGTCCCTTCTTGAAGATGCTAGTCAACCACCAACCTTTATAGACAACTATTACCCTGACTTCTGTTATCACAGATTTATTCTGGGGCCTGGCCCAGAGGATCTCGTACAAGCTGG